AGCTGAAAATCTCACTTCTCATAACATTAATTTTAAGTGGCTCTTGTTAGGAGGCAAGTCTCCTAAACCTGCCAAACAAAATATTCGAGATTCTCGACTACACAAAACATTTTCCCAATTTCCTTCTTTACTGACTGAGATAATTTTTGTGTAGCAACAGAATAGTGCCACAGACACTATGGCATCATGCCACGTGCTAAAAGAGTGCCCATGGTCTCTCACAACACTTAAGCACAACACCTGCAGATTTGGGGATGTAAAACCTCCAAAAGCAACACATTTCATCTGAGGTGAAAAACCTTAAATTCTGGAAGGTGCAAGCTGAGCAATGCCCGCCTCAGATGAAACTGGAATCAGTTTTTGAATGCAGATTCCTTAAGTGTAGCTCAGTTAAGCGTGAACTGTGCAGATACTCAGGCTGCAGACTCAGAGGAGGAGCCGAGCACGGTGGTGATTTGTGCCATTTTCACATCACGTCTCCACAGATTAGCAGGGAGCCAGCAAAAAAAAAAGATCTTTGCAGAGAGAAAAGCAACTTTCACTTGATTAAAATGTTAATGACCTCCTGAGAGTTCTTTGGTTTATTTTCTTCTTGCCCCGAGTTTTTATCACGCCAAAATGTTCAGTAATCTAGCGTGTTTCAAATATTTGGCCTATATATTTCCGTATTTCTGCTAGAAAAGACGCAACATAAACAGAACATAAATAAAAAAGAGCCCTTCTACACAATTTAATACCGTTTTCTTACAGAAACACAGTTATTATATCTCACAAAGGGGGAAAAAAAATATTTCAAACGGACTGTAAAGAATTCAAGGCATCTCTCAGTGCCTCAGATTCTCTTCTGGCTCTGTAACTCCCTAGTCGGACTCCTAAGAAAATGCTGGATTCCAACATCCTGTGGAGTCCTCAGGTTCATTTGATATTAATCCCTTACAATGGTATTACAACTCTTAACCTCAGTGTATTCACTTAGAGAGGTTTTGCACCTACAATTCAAATTTTGCATTATAGAATTGAAAATTTCTCAGCAGTGTTCTTACCAGCTAAAAGCCCTATTAAAGCCAGGAAAGGAACTTTTCTCGTGTGTGTGTGTGTGTGTGTCAGGGCTTGGTTCACACAAATCTCAGGAAGAAGAAAAGCTCATTAAAGAATGTTGTGTCAAGGAAGGTGCTACAAAACTGTATTTCGGGTTTCTCGTGACAGATGGGAAGGTTCTGATGCTGAGCTATCAGGCCAGAAATCAAGATCTGAGATGGGTTTTAAGCTCAGCCAGACTGCTTTATGATTTTGTGGCAGCTAGTATTTTTTCTATGTCTTTTTTTTCTTTTTTGCTGCCACGCTGTCCCTCTCTGTCTCCCGGTGAGAAAAACAGATTTGATACTTCCTTTTCGTGTTTCCAAATTGTTTTTCTTTTAGAAGTGCTTTATAAAGAGGGTAGTTTCTGGTTAGCACATCTCCTCACATGTTTCACCAAGTGTATTTTCGTTACGTGGGCTATAAAACTATGGGGCAAACTCTGTCTTTTAAGAGAGTCCTTGACACCAGAGCTTGTTAACTGATCCATTGAGGAATAAGAAGTGGAATGTTACCTAAAGTAGCCTTGCTGAAGCTACAAAACACCTCCCAGTTGGCTGATTATACAGGTGACTCTTGTTCCACATGTGAAACTGTTACATGCTACAGAAACAGGAAAAAATGTGAAGTCACATCCCTAAAGAGGAATGTATGGAAAACAGGGCACTTCCCTCCTCTGCTAACTGAAAGAGAAACTAAAATTTTAAGTTACTTCAAAACCAGATGCAGTTTTGTTCCAGCTCTTTTGAAAACCTCGAGAGGAAGAGTTGTAACTTTTCACTTTGGCAATACCGTGTAAAAATAACTTCTGGCTTTTCTTTGGCATCAAACTGTTTACCAAGTTTAATTTGAGCTGACATAACACTTAATTGCTCCAAGAGCTCCAATTTTAGGAGGCAAATCTACCATTTCTAGGGTAGATTTCTGTAATGGATTTCTACCATTCCATTCGCACATCAGCATTTGGCCTAAAACTGATTTAGCTGCTCTATTAGTAATTCTGAAGCAAAACTAATCAATCACTGGGACACAGGACCAAGGAAAGCTACACATTAATGTCTTGCTATTTTTCTTCAAGATAGAGTATTTATATTCAAATATAAATCACAAGTTTGACGAAGGAATTACAACGTAAGATGTTATGGCCTGAGTCACACTGGAGATAAAATACAATTATACTGCTCCATTTGATGTTTCCCTCTCAAAGCTTCTGTTAGCTCAATCTTTCACAAAAGACAATGCCATGCCAATACAAATTAAGAATATCCATGTCAGGGGAATACTGTAGAAGATAAGAAAGCCACTGTTTTCATTTCACTAGCTAGTGGAAGGCAAGCACCAGAAAGTATGATTTTTAAACTACATGGCAACCTGTTGAAAAACATGAAAACCCTCTGGCAGGTGTGAAGGAATACATTGCCTGTCTGCAGCATAATAGCACTGGAGACACACTCTGAGGATTTCAAAGTAAATGTCATGCCAAGGGATTTTAAATTTCAAAATAAAAAACAAATATAGTAACTCAGGGAGATAAATTCATCACGGTAGCTTCAGAACAACCAGATCAATGCATTCAGAAGGCACGTGGTACAGTGCTTAGTTATTTACTGCTGTGACTTCAGAATACAGAGTGTCTCTGACGATGGCAGCTGCCAACAGCATCAGCAGAAGTGTTTATAGGCACTCAGGATGCTTAAGAGGGAAATTTAGTTGCTCTTTACCTCTGGCACAGTACTACAAACATTATTCTTGAATACCTCTTCAGGAAGCAACATTCCAACTTGGTGGTCAGATTTAGAACAGAAAATGTCTCTGCATCTCAGTGTGAGTGAGGGCCACAAACTGCCAGGCCAGATCTGTAATGACTGCCATTAAATCCACCCTGCCATTTACCCCTCCACTGCATTTTCTCTGTTATTTAGGGCAATCTACCATAAACCCTAGTCATTAAAAAAGCTGCGTTTAGTGTTAGGACAAGGATGTCCCACGATGTGGTTCAAAGTCTAAGCACCCACACATTTAAGATATTTATTAAAAAGTTTATTCAAGACCTGTGGGACTGTTCCTTTACACCCTGGTGCCAGTGAAAGGCAGCGCTATCTCAGCTAGTTAATCTGCTGGTTAGGACTTTGTGCTGAAGGATTTTGTTTTTACAGGAGTTAAAACATTTCATTTAACATTTTGGTGTTTAACTCTGGGGTTCGAGTTCTTCTCCTGGGGAAGAAATTTAACTGATGACATGGTACTTATTAGTATGTGTTGAAAAGTTGCTAGCAGGGAGGCCAAGATAATTTCACAAATCAATGCCTGATACGTGTGAGCACTGTATTTCCTGAGGTTTTATGGTTGTAGAGCGGGAAAAACTATTTATAATGCTGTCCAGGAGGTGGCAGGAGAAGTTAACCAAAGCTTCAGTGGTCCCTTCGTGTCAAACTGCAAGGCAGGAACAGGAACTGCCCCCCAATAATTCGCAGGTCCATTAAGAGCTGGGGAGCACAAGAGTCACCACAAGGAAAGGTGATAAAGTCTGGATCACTCATGGGTCACTGAAAAATCAAAAAGTCTCCCTCTGAATTTCTTGACTGTGTGTGTTTCATGCGTTTACAGACACAATCCATTTTTTAGGGAAATCCAATTTGCAACAGTGTTCCAGCACTGCAATTAATACCTGGAGCACAATTTCGTTTTTATTCCAGTCTCGTTTCAGCTTCATTCTACAGAAAGTAATTTTGCAACATTCCGTTTACCAGAAAGCCAACAATTTGAAGAAATCCAGTGGCAAAAAAAAAAAAAAAAGAGAATGAGAAGGAAAAAAAACCCAACCCCAAAACAGTGACCCAACTGAAAACCATCCGTCACTGATGTTCACACTTTGTAGCTGGAACACTGGAATACCAAGTATTTTTATTGAGAAACCTCATTAGTACTTTCATATTTAGCCATGTTGTAACAACAACAAGAAAGCCCAGGCCACAACACTAGACTTTGTACAGAAAAAGTCAGTCCCTAATTTGAGTTAAAAATAAAAAGAATGAGTAATGCAAAAATCAGCCTCTGCCCATATTTCCTAGAATTTGTGCTTTGTTCATCCTCTTTTAATTATTTCAAACTCTATTTGTCACTCAGTACATTTTCCTATTCTTTCACAACCACTGTGCACAGGAAAAAGGATCAGTGTCTCAGGAATTATAGATTGGTTAGGCAGCAGCCATTAATTAAAATCAAAGTTTTCTGGCTTTGTAGCAATTATTAAATGGTGTTCACTTCATTTCCCCCCAGCAGAAAAAACAACAAATTTAGAGAAATTATTCATATTTAGCCAAAATACCAGCCTCGAGAAAAAAAATGCGCAGAATAATGTCTTTCATAAATTATTAATTCACGCAGATGGTCAGCCTGGGATGAGAATGCCTGATACTGTTACTTACTCAGATGTTTAAGTGATAATTTTTTGTTTCTAGGAGCACAACTACTACAGTATGAAAGTTACAGCTGAAGAGGCATGAAGCAAACAAGTTCTCTTTTGTTTTATGCAGCACAGAAAACGCAGTGAGTAGTTTAGGAACATAAAAACATTAGCAAGTATCAATCTTCGACCAGAGCAGATCAAACCATGCCACAGGCAGCCTGTGACAGAGCTTTACTGCTGATTCATGTGTGCTCTGGTAGCAGAAAACTTCTTAGATGATGTTGTCTTAGTAATTAGGGGCTTCCACCCAGGTTAACCAGTGGAGAATTAGTCTGCAGCAGGTTTTCTCAAACTTTCCCCTCAGCTTTTCAGCTTGGGGAGGTGAAAAATTAAAATAAAATAAAGGCATTTTCTGCAGAAACGTGAAGTTTTGTGGGGAAGATATCAGGACTTTTCTGGATTCTCTGGGTTGTCTCTGGAGTAGTTTATGGAACTTGCCAAATCACCCACTCACCTGTTAAATGAACAGTCACATCTGTCATTGCAGAATGGCTAAAAGATGGAATGCAGTGTTAGAGACCACACCCATATATGTGTCTGCAGGGTCAGTTTTCTCCATAAGGCAACAGAAAGTAGGTAAAATGCATCTTGAAAACAGCAAGGCAGCAGCGGGCACAACAGCCCCTGAAATCAGACTTTATGTCATTCAATGTTGACAATTCGTCAGGGGACGCAGGAGAAAAGACCTGCAGGGTCAAGGTCATCATCTGTGCACACGAGGGTGGGGGCACAGGGTGTCACAAGGTCATGAAGGCAGGAGACACAGCTCTAACCAAAGCACAGCACCCAGACATCTTCCCCGGCCCTCAGCTCTGCCTCACAGCCGGAGAGGAAACTCAGTGCTGAGCACATGTGAGAGGGAAAAAAACAAAAACAGAGGTAGGGAAGCCAGAGATGGTGGCAAATCTGACAGGCAGAGCATGAAGTGCAACTTTCCTAGCTCACCCCCACCCTTGGATCATGGGATACTCCCCAGCATTTTATTGCATCGTTTGTACTTTGCTTCTAATCACATGGATTTACCGAGGATCCTTAGGAAGGTGAGGGCTCAGCCTCGTGCTTTGGTCTCCTAAGGACACTGGTAGGCTAAATTCAGTTCCAAAGGGAAGGGAGGTCATGAGGTATTCAATTTATTTATTTATTTTTTTTTTTCAAAAACAGAACAAAAGTGTTGCCTTTGTAAGATTTTCTTCGCTTTTATCAGAATTGAGTACTAAAGGGTAAACTGCTTTGATTTGCCATTAACTTTAAAAGCACCCAATTTTGGTACTCCACCACAGCAGAGAGGCTATAAATTAGTCTGTGTTCAGCAGAGGAGTGATGGCCTCATCTGAAGTTCTCCCAGCTCCTCTGTTCATTAGAGACCTCTCCTTGGATGGGAACAGAACAAACTCTTATCAACCTCAGCTAATTTCCCTCTTAGACAGGGTAACAAAGCTGTGCAGCTACAAGAGAAGATAACTTTGTATCTGGATGTTAAGAAGAAGTGGTGGCGTCCGGAGTCACATTCCTGTTAGGAGTGGGAACTGAGTGGCAGGTCTGAAATGGTATATTTAAAACAAAAACAACCAATCAACCAACCAACCAAAAAACCAACAAAAAACCTCCCCAAACCAACCAAAAACAAACAAACAAAAACCCCCACAACAAAACAAACAAACCAACCCAAAATCACTTAAAATATAGTTATCAGTGATTTGTTTTCTAAACGGAAGGGAAAGGAAGAAATTTTCTGTAGAGACCTGAATGAAGTGGAACAGTGTCCTTACTGTGGAAACCAACCACCCTACCGAGGGCTTCAAATGCAAAAAGATGCAAGAGAAACTGAGAAATAGTTGGGGTGAGGGGGTAAGAAGCTTCAAAAAACAGCACAAAACTTCATAATTCCTCCAAATGACAAGCACAGGGCGTTGTGTTTGGGCAAGGATGAGCAAGTGCACTAAACAGGGTGGGAAAGTGGTCAGGAAACAACTTTACTGACCTGGGATTAGAGCAGATTATCTAATAAAACCAAACAAAATAACTCCCAAACCAAACCAAACCAAACCAAACAAACCCTGGGATATAGATACGGAAAGTTTAATAGCCTCATACAGTAATTCTTCTGTTTTATTCTGAACTGATAAAGCCTGTGCTGGAATATGTAGTTTTCAGCATTTCACTGTTAAAAAACAGCGGAGGTGTCTTAAAGAAGAGGTTTGACAATTATAACAGGCATAGAAAAAATTAATTCTGAAGAACAATTGTCACCTTTCCTTACTTCTCTTCTTATGGACAGCTTATTTAGTGTATTAAGTCTCCAGATACAGAAGGTTTTTGCCACACTGAGGCATTCTGGGAACAAAGAACAAGAAAAGTGTGGATCCCTTATGCTGGGTCAGAAACATATTAGACATCTAAGATAATATAGGTAAGGGTCTGTTGCAAACTTCCCTTGTAAAATGGAGATGAACTTCAGAGACAATAGTTAAAATTCTGCTATTAAAAGACATTAGCTTCCTCTATGAAGAATGGAGAGCAAATGTAAGTAATAAAATGATCAGAAGCACTTGAATGTAATAGAAATTTAGCTTTGGGCATTCACTAAGAAAACCAGGTTTTCTGTTAAGATAATGCAGGCTTAGGTATAATTTTGAAAGGTAAGCATAGCATGGACCTTAGAGAAAAACTGATCATAAAAATGGTTCTGTTTTAAGATTATAACACAAGAGATCATAGAATCAAGCTTATGATTACAAAAAGGCAAATGGAGAAAGTCAGGGATTTCACCTGGACTGAAAACTCCAACAGCTAAATGGGAACTTAACCAAGTGCACCCTGAGGTTGGGGGTCAGTGGTGTTTCCCCATCTTCATATAGACTTAATACAGGACTAAACAAGCTTACCTCCTAAAAGTGGATTAAGATAGAAGAAATAAGGATAGAGCTACAAAGGTCAGCAAAGGGACTAATCAACAGGGAGAGCTTGAAGTGTGGGCACAACACAGAAATTGCTGGAAGTGGAGTCAGAAGCAAATTAATAGAAATAACACATGGTTCAGTAGGCATATACTGGGGAAAAACATAAAAGAATAGAAGTTATTTTATCATGTAGTAGAGGAGTAAGTTCCAGATAAAAATTTACACACTCGTATTCTAAGGCTGCAATAATATTCTGCCTCCATTTTCAATAAAGTAATTTTGAATGGAGGTCAAGTAATCAGCAAGATGAGGAGTCATTACACGTAATAGAGAAGCATATTGCCAAAATTTACCCCAACACAGTCACATCAGAAGAGCTGAGTCCTTTCTTCCCCAAAATGCTGACAGATTGTATCCTTGAAGTACAGGTCCTGTGAGAAGGGTTTTAGAGGTCAGTTAGATGAGGGTTTTTTTTGCTTTAAAAGATGTCAAACTTAGGCAGCTGAAGATTAACAAAGACCACAATAATACCTGTACATTAAAGGGACAGTAATATTCAAGAGCTATTAAAAAGTCTTGGAGGAGATAATTAGAAACAGATATAAACAAGAAAAAGGGAAAAAATGCAGCCTGCATTCACCAGAGGTGTCTTTGATAAGCAACTTCTATTTTATTAAGATAGCAGTTTTACCAGCAAAGCAGTTCTTTCAATCCAAAATGTTCTGAGCCCATTTGATCTGGTCTAACATGCACAACATGTATAAAAGATACATTTTCCCCACGTTTTATTAAAAGAAAAAAATTGTGGAGCAGTTAAGATCCGGGTAAGGGAAAAACAATATTACAATTTGCTGACAGGGAAACTGTTTGGTGGGGGTAAGTACAGGAGTTTAACTCCACAAACATGGGTACTAAGTATTTAATTAAAGGTGGTGGGACAAAAATGCAAGTTTATCAAAGTGTAAGAATGGAGTGGTTGTACACTGGCAAATGCAAAATGGTCTGAGGAAACTTGAGGAGTGATGTAAGTGAAATGAAATAGAATATGAAACAAAGATCATTCATTTAGCATTTGATCAGAATATTTCCTACAAATCCACGCTCATGGATCAAAATAAGCCAAGAGGGAGGAAGCCTTACAGAATGATGGATCCCCCAGTGATGTATCACTGTGAAAGGACAAATATGACATATCAGGCTACATTTTCCACAGAAATAGGAAAGTATGAAACACTGTTCAGCTCTTCACTACAGATACAAACCACCTGAACCACGAGCAGATTAATCCAAAGCAAAACATGGCTGTAAACCACTTGGACCCCTGGCACTATAATCAGAAAAACTGTACAACAGAGTGATTCACTAGGCTTCCTAAGATGAAATGGTTACTGCCTATCCTGATGAAGTAAAACCACCAGGGAAGTGGGAAATTCACTGAACCTAAGGAACAACATCACCCAATTAGTTTCAGCAGGCCCTTAATTAATTTTGACCAGAAATTTTAAAACGGTCGAAACACAAGGAAAGTGATATTCTGGTGCGGGTGTTTGTCAAAAGCATCCAGGACAGGAAATCACAGTAGTATGGTTCAGAAAAGAGATAAATGAATTCTCATGGCAGAAAAAAAAAAAATCTCTTTATCTAAGTACTCTTTTAGGGTACATTATTGGAATAAGAAGCTGTGCACTTTTGTACTTAGAGCAGCCAGCATAGTTGTGAAAGGTTCTCTGAGTGACTCCAAGTTTTATAGGTTAATTTTGATTTGGGAGTTGGGTCAATATTCTGTTCAGGGTTGTTTTTCTTCTCTTCTCCATCTTAAATATGATTCACTTATTGCTAACATGTGCTGTGTCTGACTAGCAGGAGGAAACATTTCTGCCTGTGAAGCACAGGATAAAAAAAAAAATACAGCTGGCTTGTGTATACACTTGAAAAAAAAAATGCTCTTGCTGTTTTTACTCCTTTAGAAGTGTTGGGCAGCTTGTACTATTAATGCCATATCATTCTTTGAAGGCAGATTCTGATATCTGTGCCAGGAGAAGAAACAACTTTCATCTTTTAAAAGAATTAGTTGCTGGTGTAAGAGGTCATTACAACATTTTCCTGTGAATCATGAGCTGGATAATAAAGCCAACAGTCTAACAAGACTTCGCATCCCACTATTGCCCTGGGACTCTGAAGAATGCACATTGAAAAACTCAAATGCAAATTATCTGTGACTGCACTCCCCACAACTGCCATTGTTAAAAGCAAACAGTCAATAAAATTCCAGAGATAGATAGAAATGGTTATCAGATTAAGGAGAGTGACGCACGAAAAATAAAAAGAAACTGACTGGATAGCCCACTTTTTTCAATTATATTTTTATATAACTGGATGTGATCAAAAATATTTGTATCACTTTACCTTCACAGCCTGAGAAGTCACAGTGGAGCTGCCTTGGGCCCTAGAAATTGTGTGCTAGAAGGTTTACCCATTCATGCAAGCATTCAACTACACAATGTCATATCCATCTACAGCCTGCCCTCCAGACAAAAATTCTGAGGTATCACCACGTGACAAAAATGACAGATCCCAGCAGAAGACAAAGCCCAGTCCAGGGCTGAAGCTGTGGTAAAATGTATTTGTGAGGCACAAGGTCAACTGTTAATTATTGCACGTTTGGGAGGTGACATAACTAAGATAATCGAGAAGTCATCAAAATAATAAGCACCAAAAATAATAAGCATCAAACCTGATTTTTTTTTTGAAAAAAGTAAATGTACAAACAGCACTCACCCCCTCACACCCCCATGT